CAGGATTAAATGACCTCTACGGTCACAGCAGGTGACGCTGTAACCATGGCAACAGTCCACTCCAGTCCGTGGCGGACAGGTAGCTGAAGAAGAGTGCGCAAAATGACATCCATACAAGAGGAAATCTTTAAATGTGTGCTGTCCGGGGACTTGGGAGCCATTAAGGAGCACTTTGAATGTGAGGGTGCCGCCGAGGAGCCGCGGGAAGAGGACTGGTTCGGACTGAAGGACGAGGGGGGCAGAAATGCCCTGTTAACTGCCTGCATGCTGGGCAGGAGCGCCATCGTCCGAGAGCTGGTCAGAAACGGAGCCCAGGTCGACGAGCAGACCGTCAGGGGTGAGTGAGTGGGAAACATGGTCTACCGGGTAACTGTTCAGTTAGAAGCAACGTTAGGTTGAAAGCGGGGTGACTAAAGAGGAGGAAAAGGCTCAAGCCAGGAAACCTTGACGAAATGAAAGGTCCAGTGTGACACATTCAGGCTGACTGCAGTGTATAAAACCCATGTTAAAGCTGCAGTAGGTAAAAATTAACTTTTTTGTTATATTTGCTGAAACTTTCACTATATCCTGACAGTAGAACATGAGACGGATGATGTGTGAAACAATCAGGTTCTTCTGGCTCCTCCTAGTGCTCCTAATGGGATTTACAAGAATCCCCCGGCTGCTATGAAAACAACCATTAGGAGCCCTAAGAGGAGCCAGAGGAGCCTTTTCACAGATTATCTGTCTCGTACAACAAATACAACAAAAAGTGATTATTAGAAAACTTACATCCTGAGAGTGAGACTATTCAGGATTCATTTTTATACAGTCGGAGAAAGTGGAGACTCAACGGCCATCTTTTATATGTCGATATTCACAGCCATCCTCACTCCCAGGTCATCAAATACACACTCCAAATACTCATTAAATGTTTTTATATTTAAAGTCTATTAAATTTGTCAATGTTCATGTGTCTGTATGCGTATGTATCTACATGTACTGTATATTCATCTGTGTGTATCTGTGCTCTCTACTGAACAAATCCTACTTAATTCATTCATATAAAGGTTAATTAATTAAATTAAACTAAAAGTAGGAGACTGTATTTCTCCAGCCGCTGTCATCACAGTTGAAGTGATTCACCTGTGCCCGGCCTCAGCCTGACGCTCTTGGCCCTGCAGGTTATTCGTCCCTGCACCTCGCTGCGTGCTGGGGTCACCTGGAGACAGTGAGGACTCTGCTTGAACTGGGAGCTGACACACAGGCCAAGACCTTCAGAGGGGAGAGGCCTGTAGAGCTGGCCAGGCGGTACTCTAAGACGGACTGTGCTGACTGTCTCATCATGGCCGGTGTGTGGAGCTGATGTTCTGGCATTATCTCTGGCAACCTTTGATTAGTAAAGATATTTATTCTCAACCTGCATGTGTGTGTTTTATCTCTGTGCAGAAGCTAAACAGGACTTGATGTCATATTTAGATTTTGTTAAAGACCTCATCTCAGACGGAGAGAGGAACCTAACAAAGGAGGAGAAGGTAACATCAGGATTCACCAAGTTTCATTTATTAATATAGACCTTTTTATATACATGATAATTACATTTTATTAACTGAGCTAGTGTCTGCACAGCGTCCTCACGACATGTGAATATCAACGTGCTAACCATTTAATTACAGCTGCCCTCATTAACTCAACTTCTTCACTGTGTTTCTCCTGTAAATGTCTGCACAGAACATCTGTACACGTGTGTGTTCTGCCAAGTCAGACTGGATTCAGAGCGTCCAACACTCAACAGTGTCAGACTTCATAGCCCAAAGGAAAGACATAGAGGACACTCTTCAGCCTATTCTCAGCAAGCTGTCAGCTCAGTGTGAGTATCATTAACATCACTGTACAGCCGTGAGATTTGTCCTCAATGTAGGAACCACCTGAAGTGATACTAACTACTGTGGACTGAGTTCGTGGTTGCTAATGAATTTGTTCTCAACCATAATGTATTTATTTTGTCCACAGGAGAGAGCAACAAGCTGTCCTTTTAATGGATCATCACTGCAAAAAAGGAATCTCAAGAGTAAAAATAATCTAACCCTAACCCATGTTTTGCGTTAGAAAAGTGATCTGGTCTTAAGAAAATCTATCTAACTTTGTCTTAATAAGATGATATCACACCTAATATTGAGCTTGATTTAACCAGTAACACGTTCCAACAATGGTTTGCATAATATCCCGGCAGAGGATCTTATTTTCCTTATTTTAAGAGTAAGACCACTGCACAACTTCTCAGTTTAAGAGAAAGTAGTCTGGTCCTAGAGTTGGAAATGAAGCAGCGGTTTAGTTTTTTAGTTTTAATTTTAAAAAAAAGGTAAAAAGATAGTCACTTATTTTTATAATGCTGTTTGAAGAAATTGTGTCTTTTGGAAGATTATTTTCGCCAATTATTAATCTTAGATTAAGGTACACATGCAGCTCAATAAAGTGACCAAAATACTTAAATAACTGAGTTTTTACTGCTTGTAAAAAGAACTTGTTTTAATTTTTCAACATTCTTTCTAGTTTTCAGCCCATTACAGTCTTTTAAGCTAAACTGGCTTACCCCATTGGCAGATTGTTTTGCTCAATACAAGAAAATGTGACTATATTTAAGAATATCTGGCTTGTTTCTAAGAGGGGTTGTTTTTGCAGTGATCTTATTTCTGCTGAGGTGCCTGTCTAACCAGCAGGAAAGGTCCAAAGCACAGCTAAAATAAACATGATTTATTTAATATGAGCATGCTTGTT